TAGTATAGCTTTTTTTATTCCCCATGTTTGCAGGTAAAATTTAGACGCGAAGCAAAAAAAAAAGATCACATTTATTTGAATAGTACTAGGGCCAGGGCATTATTTTAATGGTGGTTTTGTAACACATAAAGATCAAAGAAAAAAAAATTATCAAAGAAAAAAAAAAGATCCAAAAGATCAAAAAAAAAAAAAAATGAAAAAAAAATAACCAATGAGCCGTTGAAGCCATATAAAATGGCCCTAGAGCCGATGCTCTGCTCAAGAAAGTTAATTGTCACGTCACAGTGAAAGTGTCTTGCAAATAGCAGAATAGTTCAACTAGAATTAACTTAAATGTTCATTTTAATGGCAGTTTTGTGACACAAAGATCAGATCCAAAAGATCAAAAAAAAAAATTAACTAATGAGCCGTTGAAGCTATATAAAATGGCCCCAGAGCTGATGTCCTGCTCAAGAAGGTTAATTGTTGTAGTGAAAGTGTCTTAAACTGCAAAAAGTTCAACCAGTATTAATTTAAATGTTTTTATTCTATTTTATTTTATTTTATTTTAATGAAAAGAAGTATATAAATCGATGCTATTAAGGAAAGTGATTTTTTTTCTTTAATCGATAAGAAAAAAATTAGGATTATTTATAATGTTCCATGTTCGTAATAAACTTTGTAATTCAAAGGACTGTAGGAGAAAAAAAAAATAAAAAAAAAAAGAAGTCTAGAAAAATCTGGCAAATCAAAAAAAAAAAAAAAAAATTAGAATAGCTTGGTTTCTTAATCAAGGTCTATTTATATTATCCCCCAAAACGCCAAACCAAGAATCATTCAAAGCTTTGTTTTATAAGGTGAATTGTATAACTGGTTTAACTTGATAAAACAACATATTGTATTGTACGTACAATAAGAATCTACTAAGTTGAGCTTAGCACAATAAAAATTTAATCAGGTTTTTTGAAACACTATCGGCAGGTTAGGTAGTACTACATATAAGTGCACATGCGTGTTATTTTAAAAAATATTAGATCTGGAAAATCAACCCCTATTTCGAAATATCGCACATGGGCATGTTTAAAATAACGCGCAGGTCGATTAATTAACATGCAGGTGGGCGTTATTACACGGCTATACAGTAGATAAGATATTTCTTTGACAATCATTTCTTCAACATAAAATTGGCCTAATTTGGTCTAATTTTAGAGTTAGTGTTGGTCAGATTATATATTAGAAAATAACTGTTGAGAAAATAGCTTGTTTAAAAAAAAAATTGTTAAAAAAATGTAATTGATAAATATATGTTTTATTAAAAAATATATAATAGAAAAGTACTAATATTAACAGCAGTACTTTACCACTATCTAAAATTTTTAAATAGTGTATTTTCTGCTCATATAATATGAGGTCTGGTAGTATACTTAATATTAATTCTCTTTTGTCTAGTAATCCTTCTTTGACTAGTAATTTTTCTTTATATAATAATTTTTTTTTGTCTAGTAATTTCTTTTTACCTAGTAATTTTCTTTTATCTGGTAATTCCTATTGTCTAGTAATTATTTATTACCTAGAAATTCCTAATACCAAGAAATTTATCTGTAAAATTACTTGGTAATTTTTCTTCAAAAAAATCTAGTAATGCAGCTACTGCTTTTATATCAGATCTGGTAATACATTTACTATAAATTCTAACATATTTCTTGTAATAACTGATACAATCTAATTTTTTTTTTGATATAAATCATGAAGTAGTAGTTACCAATAATAATACTAATAATGCCAATAAGAACAAAGCAATTAGTAAAAATAAATATTTAATATATTTGTTATTGTAACTAGTAAATAAATTATTATGTTAATAAAATTTTCATTTATTCAATATTTTATATAAAAATATAGTAATTTACAAAGTATTAATTATATTGTATTAGTAATAGTTTATATTACTAATACTGTTAACCTTTTAAAATCAATCTTCTTAAATTTGATAACCGGTTAAATCTAAGTCTACCCAGTCCATTTCCTTTGTATAAATCTAATAGTTTATAATAGTTTCAAATCTGATAACTTTTTAATACTGATACTAAACCTATTCACTATGTATACTAGTTTTGAAAAGTTCAACAGTATTTGGTTTGTTTTAATCTTTTATATTGGTACTTATTATTTATTTATTTTATAATTTAGAATTAATCAAATATGATTTCAATAGTTATATCTCTAAATCTGCTAGACTATGTTATAGAAAATATTATTTAAATTATAAAGGTGATTTTAGAACTAGCAAAAAAGCAAAAAATTAAATATTGTTTTTTTATATATTTAATTATTATTATATATAAATAGAGATGAATCAATAGTAAATTTTTTATAATAAATTTTTTTTATAACTTTAAACAAAAATAATTTAACGAAAGCTTAACTAAATTTAATAAAGCTTTTTTAAATAATTTTTATAAATTTGTAAAAATTAATTTAAATAAATTTGATTAAGATTTTGTTAAGTTGTCTTTGTTTAAAGTTTTAAAAAAATTTATTAAAAAATATTTGCTTGATTTTTATTAACTTAACCTAAATATATAATATTTTGTATAATAAATAAAAATAATATATAGTTATTGCATGCGAAGCATACAATAACTGTAGTATTTTATAGGTGATTCTGATTAGTCAGTGATTCTAGCTAGTACGGCTGGGTTATCCAAACAATTAGGATGAGAATATAAAATACGTAAAGCATCATGTGCTTAAAATCTGGTTGGCTCTTCCAAGTGTTATAAAAGTATAGTCAACTCTCTTTAAACCAAACAGCAGGTTCTTATATATAAAAATATTTAAAAGTTCAGTTTATAAAGAGTTATTATATTGCTAATCCGTACTTAATAATAAATTTTACAAATGTTCTGAAGCTTTATATTTAGTTTTCACAGAGTTTATTAAGTGTTCAGTTTATCCAGGTTTGGTTTAAAGAGAGTTGACTGTATGATCTGCTATGTAAGTGGCGGATCATACTTTTATAGCACTTGGAAAAGCCAACCAGATTTTGAGTACATGATATAGCAGTTTTTGCATGTGAAGTATGCAATAACAGATTTATCAAATGCTTTATAGTAATCAGCAATCTTTTCTTTTTAATACGACAAAAGAAATTTCAGATAAGAACAAAACTTTGCCCAATACAAGATCAATTTAAGAACAAAAGTTTGTTCTAAAAGAATTCTAGAACCAAAGCTTGGTTCAAATTTCAAAGATGGCAATTCGAAAAGACAATTTTAATGTTGAGTTCAACTATGACGAAGGTGTAGACACAAATAAAGATGAAAAGGCTTTAAGTGATATTTGGGAATGCCCACAGCAAAAGGGGGGATGTGACTATATATTATATAGTCCTATCCCCTTTTTGCTATGGGCGTTCCCATTTGAAACTACTAGAGATAGAAGTTCAAATAGATAACTAAGGTATTTTAACTGTATTTGAATGTTATGCTAGTTATAAATTTAGATTCAAAATGCTGATGATGTTTTGATCAGCAAATTACACTTTTGAAATTCAAAATATTAATTTAATTGTTTCTTTTGATTATATACTTTTAGAACACAAAGCCCTAATGAATATTTTGCCTAGTTATATAAATTTAAAGTCAAAGATTCAATTGTAGAAATATTTGGCACTAATAAGTATTTTGTCAGTCCATATAATTTTGAAATGAAGGTACTTATAAGTATTTCAATTGTTCTAAAAGTATTACATATTTAGAATTCCAAGGTGTTAATATATTTCATTTGGTTTATGAATATTTTTTTACTAATTACAATTTAGAACCCAAGGTATTACTTATCTTTTTCACCCAGTCTTAGTATATTTGATCGATTTCTGGTAATTAACTATTTTGTGTTATGATGATTAATAGTTTAATAAAACATAGAATTACTAATATAAATAAACTTTCTTTTGAAAATTTAGTCATCTTTCGCTCTTTCTCTGTCATACTAAAATAGTAAATAAAATGGTTAGTTAAATATAAATAATCACAAATTTTTAAATGTTTGGATATTTAATAAATTAATAAATAAATTATGTTTAAATAGACCAGTTTAAATCGTGGTAATCACTTACCAACCAATCAAGAAATTGAAAGTATAATTGAGCGATCCATTTCTGAAAATACGCACAAGACTACTAAAAAATGGGTTAAGGCATTAAATCGATGGTGTGAAAATATTAGATACCATTATAGCATCAAAACAATTTCAAATAAAAGCCAACTTGAAAAAGAAATGACTGAATTTTTTTGTGGTATGCAAAAGGTTTAAAATAGAAGTGACTATAGCTCTTCCTCTTTAACTAATACTTATAATTCTTTAAACAATTATATTTCTAAACATCCAAACCACTATGATATATTTACAATTAATAATAAACATGAATTTTCTTTACTTTGGGAAGTGCTTAATAGAAAGATGAAGGCTTTGAAAAAATTAGAAAAAGTTACTAAGCATCATGACCCATTAATACCTGAAGAACTAAAACAAATATTCAATCACGAAGCTTTATCTATTAATACGGCCAAGGGCCTTTAGTACTTTGTGTTTATGTGGTGCTGTCTTATATTTGCACCTTGGGGTGGAGAACATGAGCAAATGAAAGTAGCTCAATTCACTTTTTTAAGTGATGGGGAGCTCCATTTTGATAAATATTCACAAAAAAATGACTCTGGGGGTATTGATAGAAATTTAGATTCACTTGTAATACTAGTATCTGCTGATCCTAAAGGTTATTTAAATTCAATTCATAATATTAAACTTTATTTAAGTAAAAGGCCTGAAAAATATATATGCGAATTTTTCCATCTTCAAATTAATAAAGATGTTCAAGGTATTTTTACTTTAATGTATTGATTTTTTAGCTTATTTATTATATTACTATTTTAATAAATATTAAATACAGAATATGAACGTGGAATTTGGTATTTAAATACTAAACTTGGTTTGAACTCATGTAATAACTTGATAAAAATTATATGCAATGATGTAGAAATAAATATTAAGAATCTTGATATTGTTAATCACTCAGAAAGAACTACCCTGATTATATTTTTATTTCATAAAGGTGTTTCTATTATTACTTCAATGTCAATTAATGGCTATAAGAGTGAATTATCTTATCAAATTTACTCATGGTCAAGTGAACAACAAAAAAAAAATATACTATCATCTTTAATCAATGTTGTAAATCTTTCTGAAGTGCAAGAAACACATGTAAATATTATACTTTTATTATTTTGATTTAATAAATTATCAATAACAGTTGAAATTTTTAGAGTAACTACAATCATAATCATGATACTATCAATAATCATGATACTGTTTATGACACTGCTTACAACTACAATTGTAATACTATTTATGACTCTGAGAGTATTGATGAGAATAATAATAGCGATACTACTGAAAAAATTCAAATTCAGGTAATATTTTTAGTAGAACTTTTCAATTTATGAACTAAATTTTTTATTTATTCAGTTACCTAATAACAGTTCAGATTCACAACCTAAAAAAAAAGAACAGTTAATTCTGAGTTTCAAATGTCTCTAACAAATAATACAAAGCTGAACCTGCCTTTTCATGTAAATGCAACAAAAAAAAACTGACATTAGGTGGTCAAAGATTTCTACGATACAAAAAAAAAGTTCACAAGATGGTGCAAAAGATAGAACTATGATTATTAATAATTATTATATCAACACAGATTATGTTATGATTAATAAATAAATAAATATAGTATATATGCAAAATGTATAAAATACAGATGTGATATATGTAAATACAAAAAATATATATGATATAATAAATATGTAGCTATAAAATATAAAATAGGCATAAAATAATTGATTTATTTTATGAGCTGATCATAGTAAAGTATTGGATAATATGTTGTATTAAAATTATGTATTTATAAAAAGCAAGTTGGCAGTAAATAAAATAATTCATAATATAAATATTTATCAAAAACTGTAATATAACAGAATTTAAAAAATAAAATATCTGCCACTTATAATATTTTAATATTTATCTTAATTATCCAAATATTTATCTTTAATTACACTAATATTTATCTTTAATTATTCTAATATTTATCTTTTATTATTCTGTTATTTATATTTAATAATTCTAATATTCATTTTTAATTATCTTGTTATTTTTCTTTAATTATCTTAATATTTATATTTAATTATTCTGTTATTTATCTTTAATTATTTTAATATTTATTTTTAATTATCCTAATATTTATTATTAGCTATCACAATATTTTTCTTTCAATTATACTAATATTTATTTCTATTATTCTAATATTTATCTGTAATTATCCTAATATTCATCTTTAATAAATTCAATATATATATATATATATATTTAACTCTTTGATAGTTTTGTCAGTATCTTTATTACTAGATAATTACTATTATATATGTTATTATATATGCTATTTATTTAAACTAAAATAATCAGGTCTGGCATTATCTAGTCACTTCTTGAGTATCTAGATGCAATCTGTTGTACTGCCCTATATATAGGACAGAAGATGTTGTTAGCCTTGTCAAAAGCCAAATTAAAACAGCTTCATATTGTTTTTTATAATCCCTTCAATTGCATTAATTCACCTCTTTTTAGTTTTTTTTGCTCTTTGCTAAGTTTTTTTTCAATCTCTCATCACTTTCTTTTTTTGAACAACTTTCTTCTTGATCTTACTAAATAGCATATGATATTGTCTTCTTCAAATACATTAGCTAGTCTTGCCTCTTGTCTTTTTTGTTTTATTGTAATGCCTTCCTGTTTTTTTTATAAGTTTATCTTGTAGTATTTTTCTTTTTATATAAAGTTGTAACATCTATTTTTAAAAATATAAAAAATATTTTTCAAGCACCTATCTAATATCTTTTTTGATTTTACCAAATCTTCTAACATTTTGTATATTTCTTCTTTATATAGCTTTTTTACTAAGCTTTTTCTGGCTTGTATCTTTTCTTCTTTGCCATGTTCTATTAAAATTCTTTTAAAACTATCTAGACTTAATTTGCTTTTTACTTCTTACCTTGTCACAACTGCTTCTATCTTTTGCCAGTTGGGTTCATATGCTTTATATATCTATATATACTCTGTTATTTTTTCTACTCCAATATTGCACACCTTATAGTCAGCTTTGGTATAAATCTCAAGCTTTTTTTGTTATAGTTTCCACAAAACAAGCAGCTTATCTATTTATAATTAATTTAAACCAGAAACTTAATTTTTACTTTTCTTGAGAGACTTGCATTTATAGTCTGTAAAATTACTTATATGGGATCAAAAGAGGCTCTATCTAAATTTTTCTTTATTCCCTTCTGTTGCTGCCAAATTACTTAGACGTGGCAAACTTAGTTTTGCTGCTGTTTTTGCTTGAAATAGTTTTTTAAAGAATTTTTTTGGGCTTAGCTCAACCTGATTTTTTTCTACTACTACTGAAATTTTATCCAATTATTATAAGTTAATACTCTGTTTATAACCTGGCTATATTCTATACTTTTTTTTGCTAAATAATCTGCTCTGTTATTTCATCATTCCCACTATGACTCTTTATATTTTCTAATACTAAATCTGTATATTTAACTATTTCTAATATATCTATTCTAATATTAATGTTAACTATTTCTTTCTTTCTTTTAGCACTGGCTAACTTGACAAACTTGCTATTGCTACTATACTATCTAATCAAATTATTACTTTACATCTATATGGAACAATTAAAAGTGCTAAGAAAATTACTGAAAGCTTTGGCTTTGTTGATTAGAGCACTTCTCTACTTTACAATATCTTTTAAAAATAACTTGAATGTATCTTCTCGAACATGCAACTAGCTAGCCTCTATTGCTATTGTTTTTTTATCTGTATTTAATAAGCTATCTGTTTAAAAAAGTAATATCTCTACTAGTTGCTTTTTATTTAAATGAACTTGTTTTTTGAGCACTTCTTGCAGCTCTGGGTTAGTTATATATCTTTTAATTAATTCTGTTTCTAATAACTCTTCAATTGTAACTATTAATACTATTTTCTCATCTTTATTTCCCTTTTTCTTTTTAGTTGTTATTGTTGTTATTATATTTTGAAACAAATCTGCAATTATCAGATAATTTCTTTCTTTTTCTTTCATCCTTGGCTTGGGTAGACTTGTTATTATTCTGTCCTTGCTAATCCACATATCTTTACTCTCTTTTTCTGGTGTTTCCTCTATAATTAAGCAAAACTTGTATCTACTACTCTTCTTATTTTCATTATCTCATATTTTAAATTTCTTTAACCTAACTTTTATATTCTCTTTTTATATACTTTGCTTATTTTTTTTTTCTTGTTCTTTGTTTTATACAGCACCCACTCTTTAACTTTTTTGTCTTTAGAAATTGCTTTTTCTAAGTAAATAATTATTTTTTTATTTAGCCTGTTCTCAATATACTTAGCTTTTACTTATTTTGACTAATAGTTTTGTAGCAAAAGACTCTCTATTTTTTTAAACTATCTTGCTTTTTTACTCTGACTAGATTTTTTTCTTATGAATTTAATTTGCTACCATGTTAGCAATTTATTCTCAGTTTAGTTAATAATTTGTGAAGTATAAAATATTAGTAGCTTTTGCAGTTCTCTTGTAAGTCTATTTAGATTTTCTTTTAATAGCAAATTATTTAATAGAGTGCTAGTACTCTTTATATTTCACAAAGACTTCAGGTTATACATTATTATTTTTATTTTTTTTGCTTCTTATTTTTCTTCTTTTGTTCTCTGTTTTATACAGCATCTACTATTTAACTCTTCTGTCTTTAGAAATTACTTTTTTTGAGTAAATAATTACTCTTTCATTTAGCCTGTTCTCAATATACTTAGCTTTCACTTATCTTGGCCAATAGTTTTGTAGCAAAAGACTCTCTATTTTTTTATACCATCTTGCTTTTTTATCCTAACTAGACTTTTCTTTTATAAATTTAATTTGTTGCTATGTTAGCAATCTATTCTTAGTATAGTTAATAATTTGTAAAGTATAAAATATTAGTAGATTTGCAGTTCTCTTGTAAGTCCACTTGGGTTTTCTTTTAATAGTAAATTGTTCAATAGGGTGTTTGTACTCTTTATATTTTATAAAGACTTCAGGTTATATATTGTTATTTTTATTTCCTTTGCTCTTAATAATACTATATATGCCAACTTATTTTTTCACAATTTGCTTAGCTATTTATTGTTTTCTAACTGCTACTCTGTATTGGTTAGACCTGCATTTAAAAAACTTAACTCAGATTTGTGTTACTAATCTATTAACTTGTATACTGTTTAGTCTGTTCTGTAAGTCAATTAATTGCTTAGAATTTCTTGTTCTAATGATTTGCAACCTCCCAAATCTTTATATAGAATTATATTATTTTTAGTTATTTGGGTTAATTCTATCTTGCTTTTTACTAGTCTTATAAATAGTTGATAGACTTTCTTGATCAACTGTGTATTAAGCTTACTAACTTGCAAAATATAACTAAGTTTTAAAATTAATACTATATTGTTTATATATGCCAGTTGGCTTATTGTTAGTTTTTTTTACTATATTGTTAAAGTTATTTGTCTAACAATTTCTTTGGCTTTGTCTCTTATTGCAATTTGCTTAGCTTTCACTTAGCCAAATACCAAGCATTCTCACCACCAAGCTATCTTTTGTGGCTTTAATTTTATCTTAATTAAATTGTATTTTCTTGGCCTCTTAATTTTTGGCCTTATAGTTTATTACTACCAAATTATATTTCTTGCTATTTATCTATATATTGTTAATTTTATAAAATTTGTTTATGACTCTAAGCAATTTTTCTATTTTTGCTTTGCTGTTTGCTAGCTACATTATATTATAGTCAGACCTCCCTAAGTGCACGCCCTTGGGACCACATTTTAATAACATGTATATAGATATAGAGAATAATAAGAAAAAGTACATTTATAGAGATTAAGTATATATTTGGGCTAGCACTTAGTGTGTATTTAGAGAGGGTGTGCACTTATAGAGTGTGCACTCAGAGAGGTTTGACTGTATCTGCATAGGCTATTACTTCTTGTCTTATACTGACTTTTGTCTTTGACTCTATTGCTATATCTTCTGTAATTCATATTTTAACTTTATAGCCAAATGACTTGTTATTCTGTATTCTGTATAGCAATGGATTATAGAGATTTTTCAAATAATTGGAGATATCACTTCCCCCTAGTCAATACTATCACTTGTCTTGAATAGTAACATATAGTTATCTTGTACTATTACTTTTACTAAAAAGATTATATTCTCTTAAGTACTAATATTAATATTTTTTCTAATACAGAGTTGTATACTTCCTGTATATTTTGGAATACTATTCACAGCTCTTTTTTTTTTTTTCTTGCATTTTTTATAACTATATTGATGATTTGTATGAGTTCTTCCATTGAGCAACCCAGGAGCTCTGTGCAGTTTGGCCTTTTTAAAATATCATGCTCTGCTAGAATTTTCATTAGATGCTTGTTAAAAATTTTTGTTATATACTTTTTAAAGATTTCTAAAAGTGCAATTAGTTTTATATTGTCTAGCTGAAAATCTCAATTTAGGCTTTTCAGAATTGAGTAGATTTGTGCAAGCTTTCACTTGACTAGAATTACTCCTTTACAAATGCACTTTTTAGCAAATTTTTAGAAGATGTTTTGCAATATTGTTTTTGTTTTTTTAATTGGTATATAACTTATTTCTGAAATACTAGAAGCTGTCTTTGTTTTTAATTTCATAAGCATTTCTTGCTACTCTTCTTTTTTGATTAGATTATTTATATCCTTAAACTATTCTTCCTTGATTCTGTTTATTGGCTTGTAGACTTCATTCTACTCATTTGTTATCTTGTCTACTTGCAAATTTAAAATAGTGTCAAAATGAAACCTACCCAAAATAGGTTTTGAAAGGGTTCTAATCCAAAACTAGTTTTAGATTTTTTTAAAAAAAATTTAAACTTCTAATACAACTCTTTTCAATAATCAATTGGTATTAAAATTTTAGGGAAAACAACTTACAAAAAACAAAATAACTAGTATATAATAGGATGAAACTAAGTTCTGAGGTCAAACTATAAAATAGCACCTATTGTTTAAAGATAGTTTTTATATGCTATCTGCTAATAGTCTCAGAGTTTATCACTTACTGTAGAAATAGCACTTGTTGTTTAAAAGTAGTTCTTATATACTATTTGAAAATAGACTTAGAGTTTATCACTTACTGAACAAAAAGCACCTAGCTTTATATTGAATATATTATATTTTTTGCTAGTAAAACAACTCTCTTTAATATCTAAAATTTTTATACAAGTAGTTTTTTTTTTCACTCTCCTACTACTTCTCAGTCCTCTAAAATTTTTAACAAAAAGTAGACAAAATAGCTTAAACCTTCAAAAGATTGGCATTGTTTATACTTATCTAATTAGAACATACTTAGTAGAATACAATTACATGTTTGTTTTGTTGATCAATATGTTGCTATGATACAGAATAGATTTAGTGCTCTATCTAGAAAATATCTAACATTGATTACATGTCTAAAAAGAATCCCAAATATTAAGGTAAAGTTTTACAGTAGAGATATATTAAAAGTTGCAATTTAATATATAGTTTTTTAGCCTTGAACAGGATATAATAGTGCACTCTTCTTATTTATATATTAGGTTTTCTTTTTTTTTTGTGTTTTTTTTCATTTTTATCTTTTATATTTAGGTTATTTGTTTAGGTTGCATAGTATATCTCTCTTCTTTTTTGCTATTATTTTTTTTTTCTTTCTTTTTTATATTTTCTATTTCTTGTTTTAGTTTATTTTTTTATTTGCTTCATTGTAGAAATAGTTTGAAAAAATCTTTTTGCCAAGATCTAGATAGAAGAAATTTAAAGAAAAAGAAATGGTTATAACAGGCTACAAAAACCAGTTAATGATTTTTTTGAAAGAACCAAAGGGTTTAATCAAGTTGTATTTTAATTTATAAGAAATATAATATTAGAAATAGTATAGCATTTGTATATATAACTCTTTTCTCTTTTAATAATGTATAGTATAACTATTTATAAAAAAAAAAAAATTAAAAAAAATAAAAACTCTGAAACCTAAAACCTCAAAACTATAATTCAAAACCCAAACCTATAATTTGAAACTTAAAAATATAATATATAACTTTAAAATTTATTATAAATTTGTATTTATTTTAATAATAAATTTAATAAACAAATGTATTTATAAAAATTAATACAAAATATAAAATATAGTTTATATAATATAATATGAATAATAATTTTGTATTACTGTCAGACCTCCTAAATACTACTCCTTCTAAATTCAATATCTTCTTAAATACACATCTTCTTTTAGGCCCAACTAATATTACATCTATATATTTTTACCTTTCTAAATGCAATATCTCTCTAATACATGTGCTAGAGCTGGTTCTGATAATATATATCTAGAGAGGTCTGACTGTATATGTCATATGTTAGAATGAAATTATTGTAGATTTAGAATCCACTTAGATTGAAACGGGATTCTAAATATAGCCTAAGTTGATATGAAATTTAAAAGCAACTTAAATCAATTCTATATTTGATACTATATAATTGATAAATTTAATAGCAACTTGATTTAAATTCGATACTGTAATAATTATGATATATTACCAAAATAAAATAAAATATTTTATTATTTCTTTTTTTTTTTAATTTCACTTTTTATTTTTTACTACTTTATCTATCTGATGACTGAATATTAAGATTATTCACTTTAACTCCATAATTTAAAAAATTGCCTTCCAAAATATTTAGTAATGAGTCAGCAACTAGTCAATATCAAACCTTATATGATGACTTTTATTTCGTATTAAGGTTCTACAAGATTCAACAATACAATAGTCGGGGATGTGAAAAATCGTTATTTGGCAAAAATACATCTGCAATATGCAACTGAAATTGTATTTTTTCAGTTCAAAAAGCATCTATTATGCAATCCTCTTCACAAGTAAGTAGTGTTAAAAATTCATTGTACATGTATTGTTATTTGCACAAAAATTAACAATTAATGTAATTAATATGCAGTATGCACAAAAATAAAATAACATTCCTGTATAAAAAAAATTTTTTGCACAGCATTTTTGTACTGAAATTTCAACATTGCAAGTAATATTACTGTAAATGCAATTGCAAAAAATGCATAAGACAAAATCACTACAAATGTAAAAATAAATATACCTTGTAGGAATAGTTGCTATCTTACTAATCTTTAATGTAAAAATTACATGTCATGTTTTTAAATTAATTTGCAATGCACTGTATTATGAATAAATTCTATTTTAAAGTAATTTAAATTGTACTCAAAATAACTTGGAATACACATAATTTTGTTGTAAGTTAGATTGGAATTCTTCAATAGCTCGAACACATTTTAGAATTCTATTACAATCTATGTTTATTTAAAATCAATCTAGATAGATTTTAAATCTACAATAATTCTATTCCAATATGCGACATATATACTTGAAATAAAAAAACCTTAATTATTTAAGAAAAAAATTTTAATATATAATAATAAATTAAATATATATAAAAATATAATTAATTAATTTTAATAATAATAAATTTTATCAATATTATTAAAATATTTTTATACTATTTGGCTTGGATTATAATTTTTTTTATTTTCTAAATCTTGAATAAAAGTAGTTATTTCATCTTCATTTATGTCTTCTATTATTTGATTATTATCTGTATCTTCAAAATTATTATTTACTAAATTAATTATTTCTAATAAATTTAAATTTTCCTATACAGTTCTTTCATTACTATCTAAATCATACTCATCTAAATTAATATTTTGTATTTCATTTTTGCCTTTTTCTTCTTCCTCTTCTTCAATTTGTGTATTATATAATTTTTGATAAATTTTATCTACTTTATGTTCTTTACTATATAAATTTAATTCAAATTTTTTGTTATTAATATAATAAGAATAAATTTTAACTATAGATTCTAAATTTTTAACAGATAAATTTATTCTTCTTTTTTCTGTTATCTATTCATATATAGACCAAATTCTTTTACAACTTGCTATATATAGAGTAATAGAAAAAAGTTTAATTCCAAGTAATTGTTAATATGGTAGTAATATTATACATGTTTTTCATCAACTTAAGGCTATATCAATATTTAATGTGAATAGTGTATTAAATAGGTCTTTTTGTAAATAAAATTCTCTAAATTAAGAAATAATCATTTCTTCTAATTGTTCTTTAGCATGTTTATATTTTTTTTAATTGTGTTGCAATTTCTGGAATTTTTATTATTTGTTGCTAAATATTTGCTGTTAAAGTTGCAATTTTTAAAAATTAGCTTTTTTTAATATCTAAATAATGGTTGTATATCAGAATCCCGACACACAAAATCCCAACACACAAAATCCCGGCAACAAAATCCCAATACACAAAATCCTGACAAATTAAATTCCTAATTTTAATATTTTTAGGATTTTAATTTGTCAGGATTTTGTGTATCAGGATTTTGTTGCCAGGATTTTGTGTGTCAGGATTTTGTGTGTCGGGATTCTGATATAAAACCCTAAATAATTTATAAATTTTAAAATTAAAATATTTAAAATTAAGTAATAAAATTTACTTACCTTTATAAAGTGAATAGAGAAAATATGCTAAAAGATATTCACCATATTCATATTTATTGAATCTTGAATTAAATTTGTTAATAGCATATTTATAAAATTGTTTAGAATCTTCTTTAAAAAGCTTATATATTGAATTTTCTAAAGAAATTAATGCAAGATAACAATTAGCTAATATTATATTTCTACATTGTAATTTAATAATAGCATTATTAATAGGTTTAAAAATCTTAGCTAAATTATAAACTTTATAAAAAAATTCTTTTTTTTTTACAAATTATTGTTTTAAAAATTATAAAATTTATTATTTTGAATATAAATTATAAAAATTTAATTAATAATTTTATTACCTCTTTTAAACATGCTTCTAATTAATAAACAGATTTTAATATTGCATAAATCGTTGTTCATCTTGTATTAATATAAGTTTTTAATCTACTATCTAATATTTTTTTTTTAGAAAATTTGGTTGCCAGAAGATTATTTGGTAAATGAATTTTTTTAAAATATATAACTAAAGTTTTACATCATTAAATAATTCTTGCTACAAATAGATCTTAATTAAATCTTTTGTTATAAAATTAAATGCATGTACAATATATCTAATACTTAATATATATGAATATTTTTAAGAAATTTGATTTCTTGCTAGATTAATATTTAAGTCTGCATCTGTTACTATAATAATAAACTTTTTTTTTTCCCTTTATTAATGCCAAATTGGGAATAAAATAGCATAAAAGATAATATATTACAATGATATAAAACTAAGCTAAATACAAATTTCTAATTAATCACATATTATTTAATACAATAAGAAATGCTATTACTCACAACCTAAGTTGCTACTGAATTTTGTGTGGTATAATACCTCTTATTTTTCTATTTATAAGCTATTTAGTTAATTTTTGTTAGCTTTAGAAGGCTAGAGATAACCTAAATCTATATAGATAGCTAATTGGTTGATTCAAAGTAGAGAAACAAAATAATAAATAAGAAAGTTAGAAGAAGATTTAAGGAAAAATAAAATAAGAAAGAAAATATATATATATAAATATGTAAGATGAAGTATATAATAGAATAGAAAATAAACCTAAAAGTAAAAATAAAAAAAAATAAAAAAAAGAGAAAAGAGATAAGTTAGTTAGTAATGACAGAGTAAATCATATAGTTTTGAAGATACCATTTTAAGATGTAAGGATCTATATTGTTGTTAAATTGAGTTAAAGATTTGGGGCAAAAGAAGTTTTGTATAAAGTATATTTTCTTTTGTTTAGTTTTGAAAGTAATACTACGAGCTAGTTTCCATTTGTGTTGTGACTTATTTCTTGCTAGCCAGATATCTTTTGAAAACCATTCCAAGAGGTTGTTTGAGAGTGAAGTAATAAAGTTTACAGTATTGCTTTTTAGGAGTTGATATAGTGATTCAAATATGTTGGATATAATTGTATCTTGAATAATTAATTGTAATAGGAAAGCAGATTGGTAAGGAGGTTTTAGGATTGTTTTTAATAAAGTTTGAGCAAGAATATTTTTAATATGTAGTTTTTGTTTGATTAGAAGTATATTGTTTAAGAGAGTTTGAGTAATATTGATTTTAGATTTTGGACAGTTAAATAAGTGTAGGGTGTTTTCTAATTGGTTGCATCTTGTGCAATTAGATATAATATATAAAGTAGGATAGCGGAGGTTTAAATTCTTCATAGTTGATAAATTATTTAATATAATTTTAATCCGTAGTGAGATTGTAGTTTTGAGAATTAATTATATTAAGAAAGAGTTAGATATTGGGTTTGGGTATAGATATTAGGTTTTTTAGTTGAAGGATATGATTAATAGTTTGAAGATTAAGAGTAGTTTTTATAAATTTACGGAGTTTGAAAGTGATGATAGTTCATTTCCATAAAAAGAAGGGGGAAGGTGTGAAATAGTTAAAATCTATATATATATTATTTTTATCTATAGCTGTTTTTGCTAGTAGGCTAGCATTTTGAAATATATTATTTTGTAGTTTAGTTTTATGTAGAGTAATACTAATATTATAGTTTATTATTAGAAAATTAATAGTATATAAAATATCCTAGTTGGAATTTTTGATTTGAGAAGTTTGATAGTAGAGAAGGTTTTGAAGGTTTTAAATTATAGAAGAGTTATTAGTATATGTGTATATTGTAGTTGTTTGGTATAATAAGAAGAATGAAAAGGATAGACTTAGTTTTTGCATGAGTAATATTTTTAATATCTTGAAAGGCTGCATTGAATTTGATTTGTAAGTTATTTTTTAGTATACAACCTATACTAGCGACAATATTGGGTGTTAGTAAATTTATGATTATTGCATTTAAGAAGAAGTGCAGATTAATTGGGGGTAATGCTTTAAGGTAATTATATAGGCTAATTAGTTCTGTTTGGTATGAGTGTATTAAAACAATATTTTTAATTTGTTCAGTAATTAGGTTGAAAACAAGAATTTGTGGTTAATAATTAGGTGGGTTATTAGAGAAGAAATTTGAATAGGTTGGAATAGAGCTTATATTTCTAAATAGTCGATAGATAATTTAAATAGGAGAGATTGGTTTAGATACTGTTTTTGACTTTTGCATACAAGATTAATTATGTTTCTAGGGGTTATTTTGGAAATTTGAGAGGATGAAGTTAGAATGGTTTGATTAGAGTTACTAAAGTCAGGGGTATATTTTTTTTAATACAAGTTGATTGGTAGTATTACTAATTATTTTTCCTATAAATACTTGTGTAGATGTAGGATAAATAATTCAGCTATTTTTTTGGAAGATAGTAAGAGGAGTAGAAATTAAGTTTAAGGTGTTTAAAAAAAGATTTATTAATTCAATTTGAAGGTTTGTTTAAGATGTGTTTATAGATTGGTTTTGAGTGATATTTTGAAGAAACTTAAACCAAGAGAGTGTTCTTCCTCTAGTAAGTTTATTAGTGCATAGATAGATGTTGTTCTACAGTAGCAAGTATTTATTATCCAATGTTAAAAGTTGTTCTAAGAATAGAATTTTGTTGTTTTGAAGACTTTTAATAGTAAGAGAGTTTGGAGAAGAAATAAAATTATATATTAAATTCAGTTTATAATTTGATAATATGTTCAGATTAATGTTTAGATTATTGATATTGATGTTTTGGTTTTTTAATTGAAGAAGGTAAAATATGGAAGTGAAATTGCTAAAATTTTTTGTATAGTGTTTAAGTTGTAATAGAGATAATTGCCATGTTTTAGAGAGCTATTCTTTAATTCTATATTCAAAAATTTGTTTGAAGAGTGGAGAGGAGTTGATTGTTTTTTCAATAATATTACAACTAGTGTATATATTAAGTTTTTGTATAGTAGAAGCATTAAATAGTAGGGGTTTGTAAGCAGATCATTGTTTGTATTTAGTGAGAGTTTTAAATATTTTTTAAATTGTTTAGTAAAAAGAGATGAAAATTTTTTTGTTTGCTGTTTAGTGAGGAAAGTAGCTTGAAGAAGATATTCTAAGGATAGTACAGGAATAGTATTAAATAATCTTAAAATTTGAATAGGTAAAAGTTTTTTAAATTAAATAAGTTTAAGAAAGTTTTCTATTTTGTCAATAATTTTTTCAAGAGTTGGTTTGGTAGATCTATTTCCATTAAAGAAAATACCAAGGTATCTTATTATATCTGTGGATTTACAAAAGTGTATAGGTTTATTATTAAAGATAAGAGTAGTGTTTGATTGTTGAGGATTTGTGTTTTTAGATTTAGGTTTGAGGTATAATAGATCAGATTTGAAAAGGTTAACTCGTGTATTGTTAAATTTATAGAGCTTCATGGGATTATTTAGCAAATCTTGAAAGATAGTTTGGTCTTTATAGTGCCAAACTGTATCATCTATAAATACAAGAGGAGGAATAGTTAAATGTAGTATTTGGGTATTTGTTATTTGGTCAAGAGATGAAAGTGCATGAATTTTTAAAAAGTATTTGTAGTATTTGTGGTTTATAAGGAAAGTATAGGGTCATAATAGATTTTTCAGAGCAGAAAAGAGAAGGTTTTATCTTGTTCGATACTAGAGAGGAGTGTAATAGGTTGTGATGAACTCTAGGCTATTATTACTTTGGCATTTTGGTTTAAATGTAGATTAGTGATAAAGTTTATACTTTTTTGAGGCATGCTAATTCTTTTGCATGTATTACCTAATTTTTGGATATTAATCTTGTTAAAGGCCTTAGACATATCTTGAAATAATATCTAGGCTTCTTTGTTGCAATGTTTATAATGTTAGATTGTATTAAGAAGAATTTGGATCAAAGTATAAATAGAGGTGTTTTTGGTTGCAGCAAAGTTTAAATCACTAAGAAGTTGATTTTTGGTAATTATTTGGTCAAGACGTGTAGTAAAATTTTGGTTAAGCATTTTTTATGTGGTTTGATTAAAGAAATAGGGCAAATTTGGTCTAAAGTGTAATTCTAGTTTAATTTTTTAGGGATGAGGAAGATGTGAGATGTTTTTCATACTGTGGGGATTTGTTGTATTTGTAAGTATTTTGAAAGAAAAAGACGAAGGAGATTTTGGCTTTCAAGAAAAAGTATTTTGAAGTGTTTATAATTCATTCTAGAGAGACCAGCAGCTTTTTGATTTGGTAATTGGTTTATGGCAAGATACCATTCTTCTATTGTGATTTTAGATAATAGGTTTTGAAAATGTACTTCTAGGTTTGGTAGTGGTTGATATAAATCAAAAAATTCTGAGTTAGAAGTTAGTGAAGGAAGTGGTTGTTCTTAAAATAGTTTTGAAAGTGGTTTTGTATTTGGTTTTTGATTTTCTAAGAGTTGGTAAGTAGATTATTTTTAGAAGAAAGTAATTTATCAAGGTAAAAACTTGGGCTAAATCTTTTGAGAACTTTCTTATAAAAAAGTTTGGGTTTTGATTAAAGTTTGTATTTTTTCCCTGTAATTTAGAAGAAATTTCTTCTTGAATTTGTTGTTTTTATTCTAGTTCTAGCTGTTTTTTTATATTTTTTCTTCTGTTTTAAGTATAGTTTTAAGTTGTGAAGGTTGAGAATTAGAAATTATATTTAGGTAAGAGAAGGTATAATGTAAGTATTTGTTATAGTAATTGAAGAGTGAAATTGAATATTATTGGTTTTAAGTGATTTTTTTAGTAAGATTAAGTGTTTTAGTTGGTAATGGTAAAGGGTAAAGATTTTAGAAGGTTTGAAAAGGATTGATTTGGGTTTAATTTTTTTATAAAGTAAGTTTTTGAAAGCAGCCTGTGTAATTATTTTATTAATTTGATTCCAAGTATGGTCAAGATCATTTAGGTTTTGGATATGAGCAATTTGTGAGGATATTTTTTTTAGATTTTTAGTTGTTTGG